AGTACAACATCAAGAGCGCTAGCGAAACGCCGCCCGGGCGAACCAGGGTTCCCGGAAGACGACACCGGCAGAGTGACGCCAAGGACCAGGTACTACTGCGAGCGATTCCACACGAAGAGGGACTCTCCAGCAAACACCCAAACCGACAACACGTCTTTTAATAAAAATACTTTATTTGTAACGTTGAGAGAGCGTTTTTTTTGCTGTACAGCGAAAGCAACCCTCAATAATAAAATCTAATAATTTCAGAGTATAAAATAAAATAAATAACAGAATAACATAAATGTTTTGTTTCCATCGGCGCGGCATTGGATACCGTCACTCCCCACTAGTCCCCACCATAGTGAGGCCAGAGATTATTTGCTTACAGGCGCGTCACATGCCTACAATAATATGCTACAGTTCCCCCTCCACCCGAGACGGTTAAAATAACGTAATTGGGAGGGAACTGAGGTCGGCTTAAAGCTGCTTATAGTTATATAGTACTAGTCTTTGAGTTTGCGGTTAATGGACGCGTCGCAAAGTACGCTAGTAGTGTGTGATGTCAGTGTGAGGGATAACACAAAGGCTTTAAGGACAAGGACAAGGCAGGTATTAATTTAAAGTAAATAAAAAACAATTTCCTTACAATAAAAATAAGTAAGACTAAATTTAACGTAATTTAATAGATACTTATTATATTATCAAATACCTACATAGGTAGCTAATAATGAAACTATCTCACAATATTGTTTTATCTCTTGAAACACCTTTTTCAAGACGTAATGACGTAAACTACTGCCCTAAACAAATTAAAATCACTAGTCAAAGAATTTCTGAATAAAGAAACGAAGAAAAATTAAAAAATATTTTTAATTATGCGAAAAATACTAATAAAATTAGAAATATTTTCGAAATATATTTTTCTTTAATTTAGTACCTACTCGTTTTGGGAATTTACATGATTTAAATTTTTTTGCTTTAATAGATTCCTCAAAATTTCCCGAATATGCCAACAAGTTTCCCAAAAAATCATTCGAATGTTCATTACAGATTTAAATATTTTTGAAATAGATAGGTTGAAAAACGAACTTAATATTTTGTACAGAGACGAACAATTTCGTAATTTAGAAGTTCGAAAAACGATAGAAATATTATACAAGGACTTTAAAATAGTATTTTTGGAAATATAAACATTGTTTTGCCCAGTTTTAACAATTCCTGCAACAAGTGTCTCGGTAGAAAGAAACTGTTTGTGTCTTAAGCGCATTAAGACTTAGAAATACGATGACACTAGAGCGCTTAAACAATTTATCAGTGATGACGATAGAAAAAGAACTATTGCAAAGTCTTAATGCTGATCCTCTATTTTATAAAGACATTATAAGTAAATTTGCAAATTTAAAAGACAGACGATTAATCCTGTTTTATAAAAACATTTACTATGTTTTTAAAATATTTTGTTAAAAATGGAGGCAAATGAAAAGCTGGCGGCGTTGTTTTATATATAAATAGATGAGTTGGCTAGCTACCTTATGAAAATTTGTTTTCATATTTTTTCATGTTTTTTCATATTCATAAACCAAGTAGGAACAATTTTATTAATTATTAGATAAATATATATCACTTTGTTTTTTTCTGTTACTTAATTTTATTGTAAATACAATTTTTAAAGTCCTGATATTATTAATAATATAATTTTTTAATTTACGGTTATAGTACGGCTATTGGAGAAGATCACCATAATAAAAAATGACGTGGAAATTTATTCCTATTTATTATTTGAGAGCGAATCAATAAAATATCCAAATAATCGCGTATTATCTAAGAAAAAATATATACTTTGCAAGTGTCGCCAAGAGTAACTATTTTCAAGTAACTATTCACTATTAAAGTTTCCAATACAACGAGTTTAATTGAAAAACAAAATTAGTAAAAGACATAGTAATAATAAGTAATAGCAAAATTATGACAGGATTTGAATTTGTAGCCTCAAAGAACATCCGATACCTAAATTTGGTACAATATCTGTAATTTTGAAAAGGTTTTTGAAAAATAATAATTACAAAATTTTCACTTTGACGCCCTGTATCTCTTTAACTTTTGAATTAAGCTAAGTATATCATAATCATAATATTATAGTGTGTAGTGTCCGTTGCTGCTTAATATAATACTAGTTATAGGACAGCCTGTATATGATAATAAAAATATTTTAGTAATATTTGTACAATACATTGTACAATAGTTTTCACAAAGAAGCATTTTTTGCAAGCAATTTTCGGCGATTTACAAACAAACAAAATATGTAAGTATCTCTGGAGTCCCACAGGGCTCCATTTTAAGGCCTTTACTTTTTGCAACTTTTATTAATTATTTAAATAGGAGTTTTCCAGTTAATTCACTTTTATGCAGATGATCTTGAATTATATGGGAAAAGTCGGTAACACAAAAGATTGCGTTGAGTTATGCAAGCAAAATCGTCCGACTCTTAATGCACCAAAACGCAAAACTATAGTACTCGTGAAACTCTTCTTCAATAAATAATATAATAAATACTTCAAAACTGAGACATTCATCCGCTTTTTAATTAACTTCACTAAAATTTAAATATTTCGACAGATACCTTTTTTGGGACACGCAGTATCTGGAAATGCCGACACGTAAGCTGTTGCCGAGTTCATTACTTTTCATTTTAACGACTTCAAAAAGTAACAGTCCAAATATTATTATTTCATAAAGCTCTGGCTTATTCGATGACGCGTTACACATCGATACGTCAGGATTCGAAACCGTAAGCCCAAATAAACAACTGTCAATCAACGGGCTATTGTCGGCAGTGTTATGGGAGCAGATGTCTTACTAATGTCTGGTTGTAGAGAACAAAAAGTATCTCGTTTTACGAGAAGAATGGGTACGAGTTTTATTTCGGTACCTTTCATCTCCTTCAACAAAAAAGAAGCACGTTTTAAAAAATTAAATTGCAATTCGTTGCCAAAAACGACACAGTTTCTTTACTTTGAAAATAAATATTTCATCTTGAGTCGCTCCTACATTGATAAAGAACAAGGCGCTTAAAGTAATATGTTCCGCTTTTTTTTTTCAAAAAGAGAAAACTAATTGCTACTTTTACTTAACAATTTCTATTGAGGGTTGCTTTCTTTGTACAGCAAGAATAAAACGCTCTCTCAACGGTAATAATAAAGTATTTTATTGAAAACTAAGTTGTATAGAAAAAGACGTGTTTACGGGATGAGTGTTCGTTGGAGAGTCTCCTGTGTGTGGTCGTAGGTATATGAGTACGCATCTGGTCGCCAGCGCCAGTAGTCCGCCGTAGACCCTTCCTGGAAGGTTGGTGCGTCCGGCGGCGCTCTTGACGAAGTGCTTAAAAATGGGTCACTTGTGACATGTGTACCCACACTATAATAATTCTGGTACATATTTGGCATATTTCTTATGTTTTCAAAAATTCACTCGTCTTTCCATTCGAAACCGCGAAGCCAATAAAAACGGCTCTATGCAGGACCGATCAAGGCCAGAGTCGAGACCTATGTTCTGAAAAACACATCCGCGGGATGCTGCATTTAGAAAAAGATTGGAGGTGTGTTGAACTTGCCGTACTTAATGTAGAATAGTTTTGTAATGGCGCGTACATACTGATTCTGCTGTGTTCTCAAAATAAATGTTGGATTAATGTTTTCGAAATTTTTGATACCCCTGTATAAAAAATAAATTATTAATATGCAAACATGTGTATCTGTTTTTCAATAATTTTTTTAAACAGAATGGCTTCTCCGAAAGTATTAAAAAATAAGTAGAGTCCTAGAATATCCCAGAATGTCGAGTATTAAGTAGAAGGCCCTGCCTTAATATTTCAACATAAAATTTAATTCCAAGCAACTTTTCCCCATTACCTTTTCACGTAGCGTTAAGATTTAAGGTGCTTTACTCTTCACTGTTTTTACCTTTTCCAAATTTTTGAACACCCTGTACATTAAATTGAACAAATGACTATCTTGCCAAGGGCTTCTGGACAAGCATAAATTTTTATGAAGAATGATATTTTTTTGACAATTGAAATTTTGTATCCATATTCAGGTATAGGCAACCCGAATTGGGGACACCCTGTATCTAGGGTATCTCGGTACCTGATACAAAAAAGTCGAGTACAAATAGATAAGGTCAAAATAATATCAGTTCTTCATATATATTTTTTTCTTACGGGCCTTCGTTAACAAGTTACGGGCCCTCAAAGGTGCAAATTAAACAGTTATTTTTATTTACAGTTTCTAAACTATTAACTTCAACATGCTGCAAATTTGGTGATCGACAACACATGCGTAAAGTTTGTTTTTGAAGTTGTAAGTGAAACTTCATTATGCCCAGAACGCCAGAGACGAACTATGCCCAATGGTTAACAACCTAGAATTTTTGCATATATGATGATCGCAATTTGCCTGTATCAAAAATAAGTTCCCTGAAGAATTTTCCAACGATAATACCCTCTGGGTCAAACGGGGAAAAAGCAAAAAAACAATGTCAATCAACCTAAACGACTCATCCAAAATAAGATTTATAACATTGCTACAAATTCCAATGGCGTGTAACCAGCATACCTCATTTCCACTGGTTTGAGTTAAGACTTAAATTTTTCACGTTGAATTCCTTTTTGGTCATTTACTAGGCACACAATATTTCATTTCGGTAACTTTATCTCTTCAAAAGATATATAGAGATATATCTTCTTTCTGGAAACATCATGTATCTCAAAAACTGTGGGATTTTCAAAACAAATTATGTAACAAAGTGCGATTATTTTTTCTACTCCTATGGACAGAGAAGAACCTATTCTACTGAAGTAGAATAGGTTCTTCTAGAATTACATATTATAAAACCGCCTTAAAAATCCCCAGAAATTAAACTGTTATCCCCAACCATCCCATCAATTTATCCTCTTGTACCTTCATACCACCGCACAAATCAATAAGTTAAAAACAAAAATAAGGAATTGTTAGCTGACTTACCGATTGTAGTAATGACAGTAAGAGAATATAAGAAGGCACCGGCGAAGCTCCACTGGGCTGACGAATCCTCGTCGTCGGTGCCATCGTAGCCTCTCCTGGAAAAATTGACTATAATCTTCTGGTATTCTTCCAGCACGATCATTACGTTCTTGTGGAATATCTCCCTCTTCATGTCCTACAAAAAAAAAATAGGTAAAATGTTCAGAGGCATTCAATCTTTGATAACGATGAGACAAATTTTGGAAGTGAATCCACAATCGTTAACTTTCTGAACTGAAGTTGTTGAAAGAGACTTCGGTGATTAGGAAAAACCTGGATGTTCCCAAAGTGTCTTCTTTCGAACAAAAAACAATTTTCATAGTAACTGCGTCTTCATGATCAGCAATTCGTGAAAAATAAATGATAACCCTTACCTCCTCGTTCATCTTCCTGGACAAATTGTAGAGTTTCTGAGCGTAGATTGTCCTATTCCTCCACACCTGACCCTTGATCTCCAGGATATGATGGCTCTCTATGGCCTGGAATATGAAGGATCCCGCTATCGTATACCCTACCTGGAAAAAAACTTCATACATCACGTTTCCCGTTCCAAGAATGAATCTCCAGACTTACCACCAGCATGATGATGCCAACATTGCTGAAGAGGAAAGCTATGAATTGCCTGACGTACTCCTTGCACTTCTTGAACCAGGGACGTTTGTACTTCCTCTGCCTCCTGACAGACCGCCTCCTTTCCATCTTACTCAAGCCATCGCCTTGTGCCTGGTTCTAGCAACCGTCATCTCGACAGACCCATAGCGGGAGGCGGTTACAGATTGTGGGTAAATCTGATACAAAAGAAACATTACGTTACAAAATGCATATTTTCTGTAAAATAATAATAGATGAAAGAGTAAGACCGGCTCTGTGGCCCGAACTGAAGAGAAAATAATGGTGCTACACCCTTTTCATTCGCACCTTCATAAAAAAATAAACGTTCTCAAATTTTTGTGCCTGGAAACTGAGATAAAGTTCGGAGCGAAGGACCTAGACCTCGTTTTCAGTGATAGACCGGAAAAAATCGTATCACGTCATTAAAAGGCGCTGAAATTGATTAGGGTGTTAATTAAAATTGTATAATTCTCCGTGTTGTATTAGCCCGCTGTCTGGCGTTGTGAGATAAGGCGTTCCTTAGGAAATGACAGGCGTTCAGCGAAATAATTATTAAAGCAGAATCGCGACATCACTACGCGGATATTATGAAAATGTAATTTAAAAAATATTTTTCTATACGGTTAAACGTTCTGTGTATATCTGTGAAAGTTGCAACGACGAGCAAGAAATAGAAGAAAACTGATTTTCTCGGAAAACATAGGAAATTGGTAAATCCATTAAATAAATTTATTCCCTAAAGCTGAATATGACTCGACTACTTAATGCGCAACCGCAAAGAGTCGGCGAACCATGTGGAGTAAAACATCATCAGCCATTACTGTGCATGCATTGTGAATGTACAGTATTATGGATGAAATGGATAGTACTGAAAATATATACAGGGTGAGTCATTAATAATGGTACACAGCTTACTGGCAGGTTGTGGCAAATATAGTGATTGAACCAAACATGCTATAGTTAATTGTTGATCCTTTTCGTTCTACAGGGTGTTAAAGTTAAAAATATATTTTTAATTTTTTGCTATATATTAAGTATGTATGGACCGACTATTTTGAAAATTTGTAGTTTTACGTTTATTGAGATGGTAAATACGAATATGCAAATAGTGTTGGTATCACATCTAGGGAGCGCTAATTATACTGCCCTATCAATATAAAAGTATGTAACTATTTATATTTTACAATTTTGAACATTTTAAGGTTTTTAGATATTATTCAATTGTAAATAAAAAAGGTATACTTGTTACAAATCGATAAACTTAACCGTTTTCAAGCAGGTCATAAGATAACCAAGCCTGAATTAAGAATTAACAACTGAAAATTGTTGTATGCATAATATCTTAAGAAATTATTGATCATAAAAGATTCTCGAAGCAACCACCATCGTCATCAGTGCACTTATTTAAATTTTGTCTGATGTTAAAAAATAAAGTTCTATGTTGTTTGATAATATGAACTGATTCTTGAATATTTGTCCACAGTTCATGAAAATTAATAATGTCTTTGTAAACTAGAGAATTAAGATAGCTTACTAGAATAATTTCAACTCTATTAATTTCTTAGATATTACCATCTATTCTTTTATACCAAGTACTACAAAATGCATTTATTTTAGGCCATTTTTCTTCTTTTTACGATTTTTCCTGTTTAATCCACGAAACAACGAACATTTTTTGGTAAAACTATATTGTTAAAACTCCAACACGGAAGTCTGGGATTTGTGATGTTTACTATTGCATAGTGGATTGGTTTGGCTGAAAAATAGAAAAAAAAACTTTACTAAAGAAAAGGGTTATCTTATACCCAAGAAATACTTAGGCTTCCATGGTACCAGTAGATGATTTGTTACATATTAATATCAACCCCTGGAATTTGAAACGCCTTCATCTTGTTAAAAAGCACGTATGCAGCATATATTTTTAAATTAATTACTATTACTTATTTTTCAATTGCGACTTAAGTATTATTTTACTAGCTTTACTTAGAATACAGCTGTTTCTTGACTACCTAATTTACATTTACATTTACATTTTTTTTGCTAACCTAATTTACTTATTTTATGTAATATGTTCTAAACTAAATTCTACTTTACTCAATTTATCATTAATCAATTTATTGCTGAATTCATTTATATTAATATTAAAAATTTAAACTTTTTACATTTGGTGTAAATATAATTTATAATAGATATTTATATTGTATTGTGTTACCTATTATTTGTGTTGTTTTGTAATCCCCCAACCGTTTTCAGTTTTACTTGACTGGCGCCCATGTCTACTATACTCCGAACAAATTAAAAAAAAAAAAAAGAAAATCGCAATGAACCCACGACCAGCCTCCGACATTGGAGCAACCGTTAACAAAATTATTTGTAACTAAAAAAATATAGAGCAATAAGGTTACAAGATGTGTGTTACAAGTCAAGATGAGGTTTTTTGCCTTAGGATATATTTATTTAAACCTCTTATACAGGGTGTCCCAGAATAACGTGTACAACGGAGGACCACAGATTTGTGGACTAAAAATAGGCAGATTTAGGCTAATTCACCTATATCCGAAATCGCTTCGTTTCGCCGCTAGATGGCCTCAAAGTTCGTGAAAAGATTTTGAACTTTGTGAATAACTCAAATATATATTATTCGATTTTGATTATTTTTGGGATGTGGACTTTTGCTTTCAATCAGATTTCAGATTCATTCAATTTTACAGTGTTTTTTAAAACCTGCAACTACTACAAAATTCATGTATGGTAATAATATCCATTCATAACTTTTCCTCTTTCGGGCAATAATGACAACTATTTTTTGTCTGATAGGTGATACAAGTTTTTGGGTCTCTTTTTCATTTAATGAAGGATTTGGGTAAAAAAAATATTTTTTAAATATCTACATTATCGTGCCACCCAATAGTTAACAAAGTGTTAGTAGGCACTGATTTTGTAGGTTGACTGTAATTTCAGTATGATCTTTAACGCATTATACCTGAGAATTCTTAGTGAGTGTTTACGACGATGAGATATACCACCTGTTACTTCATTTTTCGATATGGATACACACACATATGACGAATGTCCGACAGTATCTGAACCAAAGATTCCCTCGTCGATGAATCGGAAGAGGGGATAATGTTCCTGTTAACTGGTATGTTCGTTCATTAGACTTAACACCTTGCGACTATCATCTTTGGGGTACTTTGAAAACAACAGTGTGTGCTTCTACATCTAACACTGAAGAAGAGTTGTGGGAGACATATCCAAATTACCATCAATGTTTTAAAAAATTTCCCTCAAAAACTGCAAAGGGTTTCCTTTAACATTCTTCGCCGAATTAACCTTTGTTGTAGAAACAACGGTGGTCATTTTGAACAGTATTTATAATAAGTTGTACTAAATCTAATAAACTCAACTTTGTTACTTTTATCTCCAGCAGTTTTTATTGTATTTGATTGTTTTTATTAATTATCTCAAAGTTAGGCACGTCGTAAATAATTCGTCGTATGTGTGTGTATCCTATATCGAAGTAACATGTGGTATATCTTATCGTAGTAAACACTCATTAAAAATTGGCACGTACAATAACTTAAAGATCAAACTGAAATAATTATTGTCAACCTACAAAATCAGTGCCTACTAGCACTGTTAAGTATTGTGGCAAGATAATGTAAACATTTGAAAAATATTTTTTGTACCCACACCGCTCATTTAATCAAAATTCTACAAGAGGCCCAAATTGTATCACCTATCAAATAAAAAGTAGTTGTCATTATTGCCCGAAAGAGGAAAAAGTTATGAACGGATATCACCACACATCAATTTGGTAGGAGTTGTAAGTTTTAAAAAACACCAAAATGTGTAGATTGAAAGCAAAAGTCTACATCCCAAAAGTAATCGAAATCGAATAATACGTATTCGAGTTATTTACAAAATTCAAAAAATTTTCACGAACTTTGAAGCCATCTAGTGGCCAAACGAAGCGATTTCGGATATAGGTGAATTAACCTAAATCTGCCTACTTTGTGTCCACGAATCTGTGGTCTTCCGCTGTACACGTTATTCTGGGACACCCTGTATAATACCATTGTGGTAATATCATAACACCAAATTATTGATTTTCGAAAAAACGTATTAGACAAAAGTTAACGCTTTTGATGTGTTAAACATGCGGTTAAAGCTATTTCTAGTATATCCTGTATTGCTGTAAGCAGAGCAAATATTTCAATTAATTTTAGCAGTTTACATTAATTTTTACAACAAAATAGTAATTTAATTCAAATAAACGCTGTATTAACTCCCAAAGAAATATTTAATTCGCCACAAATAAGCGATTTAATTGGCTCTAATAAGTTTTATTTCTCCCAATTAAGATCAATTCTTCAGCGTACTTATTGTCTTAGACAAACTACCCTGTACAAGTACGACGAGCGTTTTTATTAAAATAACAACCCCCGAACCCAGAGCCCGTCTGAGGTTCGAGTCAAAGGCGAGCGTCGTTAAAGTGGCGAAGGTATCAAAGACGTCTCCATTCGCAAGTTGTTTTCCCGCGTAAGCAACACAGCAGTCCAATAACGAACAGCAGACGAGTATAATGTAATTGGTTATTAATTTTTTTACGGCGGCAACCGGGTGTAATAAAAGGGAGCGGCGATTTTGTATAGGTAATGTGACGTCTGGGTCGTTAAGATGTTTGCAGGTTTGCAACGTAAACGGCCGAAAGCTCACTTCTGAAAGGGGTTGCCAATGCAACCAATTTTTCTACTTTAATCAAAGACAGCCTGTAATTTGCAAGAACCTTTAAAAAGGCACGCTCTTTTTTTTCTCTCACTATATGAATGTAAATTAAAAACCTCTCAATTTTCTGATTTTATATTTTGAGGCAGAATAGATACATTTCACGTCTTCAGACTCACATACTACAACTACAACTTTTCCATGTAAATTTTTCAAACAATTCTCCTTTCTATCGCATATTGCTAGNGGCAGAATAGATACATTTCACGTCTTCAGACTCAGAAGTACATACTACAACTACAACTTTTCCATGTAAATTTTTCAAACAATTCTCCTTTCTATCGCATATTGCTAGTTGCCGTCTTCAATCATAATATTTTATGTTTGTTTATTCCACAAGTCACTGGCACAGCATGTCACAAATCAATAAC